CTCCTCCTCCTCCTCCTTCTTCTCCTCCTCCTCGTCCTCCTCCTCCTCCTCCTCTTCCTCTTCGTCCTCCTCCTCCTCCTCCTCCTCCTCCTCCTCCTCCTCCTCCTCCTCCTCTCCTCTTCGTCCTCCTCCTCCTCCTCCTCCTCCTCCTCCTCCTCCTCCGTCCTCCTCCTCGCCTCCTCCTCCTCCTCCTCCTCCTCCTCCTCCTCCTCCTCCTCCTCCTCCTCCTCCTCCTCCTCCTCCTCCTCCTCCTCCTCCTCCTCCCCCTCCCCCTCCTCCCTCTCCTCTTCCTCCTCCCTCCTCCTCCCTCCTCTCCTCCTCCTCCTCCTCCTCCTCCTCCTCCTCATCTTCCTCCTCCTCCTCCTCCTCCTCCTCCTCCTCCTCCTCCTCCTCCTCCTCCTCCTCCTCGCCCTCCCACTCCTCCTGCTCACCACCACCACCGCCTGCGAGGGGCAGGGCTCGAAGCGGCGGTGAGGGCCGCGCGGGCGGCAGCGGCGTGCCCCATGATCCGTCTCCCTTCTCCATCTCTCCTCCCCTCGCCTCCACTCTTGGGATCTGCCCGAGCGGCGGCAACTGAATTACGCTACCGAGGAACCCCACATACTTCTCATGTATCTTGCGTGATGGTAGCCGACGTGGAACTTGCGAGCATGTTGTTCGTGGCCGTTGCTTCGCCGACACCGAAGGCGGCGCGGTTCAACCTTGGGGGCCTGACATGCCGTGCCAACAGAAACGATTACAACGCCAAAGGGTCCACACTTCGCTGAGAGACCACCCCCTGCGCACCCCCTGTGGTGTCGAGAAAGTGCCACGCCTGCTATGCCTGGACGACCGTCGTGCATAGCGGCCGCGCTCAGGGACCACCCCCTGCGCACCCCCTGTGGTGTCGAGAAAGTGCCACGCCTACTATGCCTGGACGACCGTCGTGCATAGCGGCCGAGCTCGGGGACCACCCCCTGCACACCCCCTGTGGTGTCGAGAAAGTGCCACGCCTGCTGTGCCTGGACGACCGTCGTGCATAGCGGCCGCGCTCAGGGACCACCCCCTGCGCACCCCCTCTGGCATCGAGAAAGTGCCACGCCTACTATGCCTGGACGACCGTCGTGCATAGCGGCCGCGGTGACAGACCACCCCCTGCGCACCCCCTCTGGTGTCGAGAAAGTGCCACGCCTGCTATGCCTGGACGACCGTCGCGCACAGCGGCCGAACTCAGGACCACCCCCTGCGCACCCCCTGCGGTGTCGAGAAAGTGCCACGCCTGCTGCCTGGACGGCCGTCGTGCATAGCGGGCCGCGCCTCAGACCACCCCCTGCGCACCCCCTGTGGTGTCGAGAAGTGCCACGCCTGCTTTGCCTGGACGACCGTCGCGCATAGCGGCCGAGCTCAGGGACCACCCCCTGCGCACCCCCTCTGGTGTCGAGACAGCGCCACGCCTGCTGTGATTGGACGACCGTCGTGCATAGCAGTCGGGCTCAGGGACCACCCCCTGCGCACCCCCTTGTGGTGTCGAGAAAGTGCCACGCCTGCTATGCCTGGACGACCGTCGTGCACAGCGGCCGCGCTCAGGGACCACCCCTGCGCACCCCCCTGTGGTGTCGAGAAAGTGTCACGCCTGCTGTGCCTGGACGACCGTCGTGCATAGCGGCCGCGCTCACGGCCCACCCCCTGCGCACCCCCTGTGGTGTCGAGAAAGTGCCAAGCCTGCTGTGCCTGGAGGACCGTCGTGCATAGCGGCCGAGCTCAGGGACCACCCCTCTGCGCACCCCACGTGGCGTCGAGAAAGTGCCACGCCTGCTGTGCCTGGACGACCGTCGCGCATAGCAGCCGAGCGCGGGGACCACCCCCTGCGCACCCCCTGTAGTGTCAGAAAGTGCCACGCCTGCAGGGGGGAGGTGTGAGACGCGGGTGCGGCGCGGCAGAAAAGAAAATTACGCTACCGGGGAACCCCACATACTTATTCTAAACATTATGTGTTTGCTGACAATTATCATATGTGCCAAACCCTGCGTTTTGAACCCTCGTCGCGAATGTTTCGAGCATTGAGTCCTTGAGCTGATCGCACGGAGGCGGCAGCGCGGACATGGCACATTTGGGCGCCATGACGGGCGCCGCACCTTTGACGAACAATCCCTGGCGCGAGCACCGTCGTGCATAGCGGCCGAGCTCAGGGACCACCCCGTGCGCACCCCCTCTGGTGTCGAGAAAGTGCCACGCCTGCTGTGCCTGAACGACAGTCGTGCATAGCGGCCGCGCTCAGGGACCATCCCCTGCGCACCCCCTCTGGTGTCGAGAAGGTGCCACGCCTGCTGTGCGTGGACGACCGTCGTGCATAGCGGCCGCGCTCAGGGACCACCCCCTGCGCACCCCCTCTGGCATCGAGAAAGTGCCACCCTGCTGTGCCTGGACGACCGTCGCGCATAGCGGCCGAGCTCAGGGACCACCCCCTGCGCACCCCCTGTGGTGTCGAGAAAGTGCCACGCCTGCTATGCCTGGACGGCCGTCGTGCATAGCGGCCGAACTCAGGGACCACCCCCTGCGCACCCCCTGTGGTGTCGAGAAGGTGCCACGCCTGCTGTGCGTGGACGACCGTCGTGCACAGCGGCCGCGCTCAGGGACCACCCCCTGCGCACCCCCTTGTGGTGTCGAGAAAGTGCCACGCCTGCTGTGCCTGGACGGCCGTCGTGCATAGCGGCCGCGCTCAGGGACCACTCCTCTGCGCACCCCGTGTGGTGTCGAGAAAGTGCCACGCCTGCTGTGCCTGGACGACCGTCGCGCATAGCAGCCGAGCTCAGGGACCACCCCCTGCGCACCCCCTTTGTGGTGTCGAGAAAGTGCCACGCCTGCTATGTTTGGACGACCGTCGTGCACAGCGGCCGCGCTCAGGGACCACCCCCTGCGCACCCCCCTTGGCATCGAGAAAGTGCCACGCCTGCTATGCCTGGACGACAGTCGTGCATAGCGGCCGCGGTGAGAGGCCACCCCCTGCGCACCCTCTCTGGTGTCGAGAAAGTGCCACGCCTGATGTGCCTGGACGACCGTCGTGCATAGCAGCCGAGCTCAGGGACCACCCCCTGCGCACCCCCTGTGGTGTCGAGAAAGTGCCACGCCTGCTGTGCCTGGACGACCGTCGTGCTTAGCTGCCGAGCTAGGACCACCCCCTGCGCACCCCCCCGTGGTGTCGAGAAAGGCCACACGCTATGCCTGGACGACCGTCGTGTCATAGCGGCCGCGCTCAGGGACCACCCCCTGCGCACCCCCTGTGGTGTCGAGAAAGCGCCACGCCTACACGCTTTGCGAACCCTAAACGCCGA